ATTCCATTAATGTTTACCAGTGCATCTATTTTCCTGTTATTTTACTTCCTTACTTTACTGCCTTGCAGTTATATTAGAAAGATGTAGTTGCCAATTAGTAAGTTAATTGGTCACTGTTGTGTTGTATTTATATATTTATATTACCATGCTGTTGTTATAAATTATCATATATTTGACATGTTGTTATGTATGATCATATATTTGTACTACATATCAAACATGTAAATATGTCTCTGCTATTACTATTAATTAAAGTTTCTTTGTATTCTAGAAATGTCTGACAGTGATTTCACTTCTGACCCTTCCAATAAAATGTCACGACGCTCATCGACTCGCTTGTCATTGACATATAAGCCTGATGTTGTGAGTTTATTCTATCTTTTACCTACCCTGAATCTTGGTTTGAGATCATAAGTGTATTGCCCAATACTTTTGTTTCATTATGTACTCACATGTTTGGTGTATATTTGTTTTTTCAGAAGCATATGCGGTTTGTAAAAAAGTCACTGGTTTATAAGGAAATATCTCGCAGGAGAGTGAACACCTTCTCTAGGGTTTATGACTCCATTGAACTTGTTAAGTCCAAACTACTTCCCGATCAACTTGAAGTGTTTAGGAGCTCTGTGTTTGGTAAATTCCTAGATGCTAAGGAGATGAAATGTTGTGGGCAACTATTGCATTTGTTGTTAGGCAACATGGTTCATTTAGAACAATGTGAACATGATGACCGGTTGTGTATGCACTTTGAAATTGAGAATAGGCTCATATCGTTTTCATTTTCTGAGTTCACTGAGATTCTAGGCTTACGCTATGATCTGAATTTTGAAGATAAGCTACCTGATGTAACTGAGCATGGTGTCCTATGGCAAAAATATTTCCCTGGTTGCAAGAAAAACATTTTTCGAGAGGATATTAAGAACTTACTTAAGAGTATCAAGCAGGGCACAGTGCCAACCGATGATCTAGTTAAATTGTCTTTACTTCATGTTCTATCACATGCGTTTTTAGCCGCAGAAGGTCAAGTGTCTCTACCTAAGTACTACATTAATCTAGTGGACGACCTTGACTGTTTTAATGCTTACCCATGGGGTAGTGCCATATGGGCAGACATGGTTAAATACTTTAAGGCGGGGGTAAATGCTATGAAAACCAACCAGTCACATTACAATGTGTATGGTTGTGTTATGGCATTACAAGTTTGGGCTTACGAGGTCTTTCCGGCACTCAAGGATGGCCTTATTTGTCAACTGGTTGACCCAAAGGCATACCCACGGATTTTAAGATGGTCTTCTACAGCTAGACCAAATAGTGGATGTCTCAAGGAGATCATTTTCTCTAAACAAAATGTGAGTTCCTTTTCTATTAGATTGAAAATAGCTTAATGCACTCTTAGTCTAGATACAAACTATTATGATCTGTTTATTTTGTAGTTAGTTTTTAGTAGTCTTGCTAAATATTTAATGATTATCTCTGTGTTTCAGTTTGTCTTCAGCCCAATCATAACAAGCTCAAATGCCCTGTCTAACTGCAATGCTTCAACACCATTGAGCGTTATGAGAAAAAAAACTCCAACAAAAAAGTCACACAAAATGACAACAACAAAGTCCCCCATCACAAACAAAACCAAGTCAAGGAATTTGACTGGAGTATTAAGGCCTGATGAAGAGGTCACTCTGAAAGCACCAGTTACTCCAGAAGAAGATAAAGATGAGGTCATTGTGCAAGCACCGATTAATAATACTTCTTCCTCTCCAGAAGAAGACAGAGATGAGGTCACTGTGAAAGCACCAGTTAATGATGCTTCTTGCTTTCCAGAAGAAGATAAAGATGACCCTCTTGTTTTACGGATATCTTCTCTAGAAGAAGAGGTTACTGTACAGAGGTTAGAAATAAAAATACTTCATGATAAAATGAAACAGCAGGATCAGACAATTGCACAACTACTCAAGGATCAACAAGCCATGTCTGCCAAGTTCAACGAATTCATAAAGAGTTCAACAACAATGTCATTCGAAGGTGTTATACATTCATCTAAGCAGTGTTCATCTGAGAAGATTACTGATGCCAGCGAAAAAGTAGGCAAAGTAGATGTTTTAGAAGAAGTTGGAAATCTCAATGTTCCTGCTTCTGATTCTCTAGCAGTCGCATCGCCTGTAGCCAATGATTGCATTCAGGATGATTTATTTGAAAATGGTTTGACCCAGGTCTTCACCATTGCTTTTGACATGTATGCTTCTAAGGTACGTGTTCTAAATTTTATTTATTTGTTTCAAATTTGTGGTAATGTATTAAATAATGACATACTCATCTTCTTCATACCCACCTACTACTTCCCAATGATGGTCAGTTTGCCTCTTCATCTCATGTAAATGAAAACAACACCGATCAAAAATTGCAGGTTTTTACTCTTATTGAAAAAACATTTCATATTCGTTTTGTAATATCATACCGTTATTTACATATTATATTTCAAATTTACACTAATGTAGGCTGTTACATGTCAAGATGGTGTCTCTCATCATAGTTCTAATGTGAATTCAGTAGTACATAGCAAACAAGAGGTGATCATTTTCTCAAGTGACTTCACATTTCTTTTATTTTTCATAGTATATCAAATTCAAATTGCACCTATATGTTATGATTTCTTCTTTCTAGATCGCACCATTTGCTGAGGATGACATTGTTGAGGTGGATGGTGCACACTTTGGTCAAGGTAGACCTAAACGAAAGGCTAAGTCACCATCTCGCTACACACCGGGTTCAGATGCTTTAAGGAAAAACAAGAAGATTCGCAATGTGGATGTTGTTTGTCCATTCAGCCGTGACCCATTTTGCATTTTCAAATGCAAATCTGACCAAGTTAGTTTCTATCAATATATCATGCAAGGTGTCAGACGTGGACACAAGACACAAGCATCCAAAGTCAAGTACAAACCTGAACATGAGAATAACGTCTTCCTTGTTCTTGATCCTGGGCTGGACATTGACAATAAAACATGGTTGTATAGACTTCATCAATCTGGTCAATGGCTTGACTCTACGGTATTGTTCTCTCCTTTACCTATAACTTTTATTTCACTTGTTTTAAAATTATTTTTTATTGACTAGTGATTATGTTTGCTTTGAAGCATGTTGAGTGTATTTCATTTTACCTCCGTCTGAAGGCTGCCACATTCAACTTCCCTCAAAAATTCTCTACTGCTGGCCCGTACACAATAATGCGTTTAAATGAGTTGTTTACTTCTTATAAATCTGGTAAATGCAATCCAAAAAAGGCAATCAGAGATGGTTCTCTGAGTGATGCAATGTGCGGTGATCCTACCCAATATCTTCTTCCATGGACCGACTCTGAATATGTGTACTTCTTCCTTAGCACAGAGTTGAAGCATTGGATTTTGGTTGTTTTGGATCTCCAGGCCAGTAAGTTACGGGTGTATGATAGCAACAACCGACTTGCTTCCATTAAGTCAAAGATTATGGATGAGATGGAAGGTCTTATTCACTTTCTTCCCCTCATCTTAGCTGAAATGATGGCTTCTGCAACCAATTCTGTATCTGGAGAGACAGTTCCGTTTATAGTTGAGGTCGTCCCACATGTCCCCCAACAAATAAATGGGTAATCCTTTCCCACTTTGCTTTTATTGGTACTAACTACTTAAGCCTCAGACTTCCTTTTGTTTTATATTTAATTTCTTTTACTTTTCACAACTGTTAGTGGAGATTGTGGATTTATGATGCTGAAGTTTGCTGAAGTGCTTCAAATGGGCATGGATGTCAGTACAATTGACCCAGAAAAGATAGCTGATTATCGTGCAAAGTGGGCCCATGACTTGTATCTTTTTGGTTCATCAAAGGGGAAGTCCTTGGCAATCCGCTCTGATCTAGTGCAGATGTGACTGGAAGAAAATAGTTCACTAAGAGTTGTTTTTGTTTGTTCTTTTTTGTCGAGAACCATGTTCATGTTTTAATGATGTACTATGACACTACTATTGTGTACAATGTCAACTTTTGTTGTGTATTTTAACACTACCTGTGAACTACATCTATGAATGATCATGATATTTTGCTTGAAGCATGTAAAGATGGAGTTTTCCTGAATGTCCAAGTCTGCCATACATTTACATACTTGGAATTTTAATTCACCCAAATGAGTCTGTTTTATTGGTTGATTCTGGTTTGGCATATATCTGAAGTGACCATCAAATGACCCCAGCTCCGGGACACTAACTTCTCTCCTTAGCCCACAGTGACCTGATGCACCGGCCTTGACCGCCTCCTCGGCAGTCACCGGTGCCCAGCCCGCCCATAATCACCCCAATTGCCCCTGCCCACCACTCCATCCCTGACCCATCCCCTTCCCACAAGTCCACCCCAGACCCGCCCCTGCCGCACCAGTCCACCCTAGACCTGCCTCCTGCCCCACCAGTCCACCGCAGACCCGCCCCCTGCCGACCAACTCATCCCAGACCCTCCCCCAGTCCACCATTCCGCCCCAGCTCAGCCCCCTGCCCACCAACCAGCCCTGACCAGCCCCCCTGCCCACACGATTCCCACCCCAAATAAGCCCAATAGTGTTTTGCTACTTCATTAAACCAAAACCAACACAATCTGAATCAAGGTACATTATATATACAAAGTCCCTATTGCTGCATCTTTGTAAATGTTCAATTCTGAACACAAGACCCGCCAAAACAACCTGAGTCAAGGTTCATTATATATAAGTACATATCTCTCATTTTGCAATTTAAGAAACTACACAACCTTTGGTTGTCTTTATCTATTATAAATATAAAAGCTGAACATTAGACAAAATAGAGAAAATAGATAAAGTTGAACATATCTCTCCTTTTGCAATTTGGTCACTGACAGATTCAAATAGAGAAGAACTCAACATTAGCAAAAACTGTCAAACTCACCAGGCATGTAATGATAATATTCACCAGACATGTAATGATAATATGTAATGCATTCCATTTCAATTTGTAAAGATTTCAACGTCACCAGGCGTGCAATGATAAATTGTTTACAATAATCAACAATGTACACAAAAAAAATCTGCCAAGAACACACTCTTAAGCAAAGAACTCTATTTTGAATCTATCTCGGAAGTCGTGGTATTGGATTATTGCACGTTTTTTGATTATGTCCATGTTGTTTGCACCGCCCACACGTCTGTCGTGACACAAACTCGCCAATAGAAGGAATTCGCTTATTTTTTGGCCTTCCTGATGTTCGCTTCTCTGAAACGGGTGGATTGACTACCCAATTTTCGTATTCTTCAGGAATATCTTCAGCAGTGTAATCACCTAAAGGATAAATCACACCTTTATATGCTTCAAACCATGCACTTCTATGATAGTACTTGGAGATGTAGTCATAACAAGATATCCCTGTTCTTTTCCCTATTGCTGCAACAGCGTGTACACATACAAAGTCCTCTAACTCAAACTCCCTACAAGTGCATGTCTTTGCTTCAAGATCAACCACATATGGTCTACATGATTTGTCAATCACTTCAAAAAGATACGCTGTACTTGGTCTTACCTGCATTTATATATAATACAACTATATAATTAGCTTGATAAAAACATGTTAATAAACTGAACTGGTCTGATTATTTAGATCAAGCAGGTCACTATTATTATTATAATTTATTAGGTTAAGTAATGTACAACATAAAAAGTGTCCAAGAATATGAATGGTTCTAACTTCTGAAATTTAAAAACTCAACACATAATAAGACAATTTGCAAGTGTAAAGATAAGTGCATGCTTCCATGATGGTCTGAACTCAGAAGCTACACAGGACTTGACAAGTCCAAAGGGAGTTAACTTTATAGATTCGGTAAACACAGAGTAGTTAGTAGTTAGTCTTTCATGAATTCATACGATAAGCAGTGGTGAAACACTAAAAAGATTTAAGGTTTATGTTGTATATAAACTGAAATTTTATAAAATATAAGCTCAAGCAGGTAACTATTATAAGATACAGAAATAGTGCCATGTAGCTAACTTACAATCATCCCAGTAGAATCCATCATAAGGTTTACCAGCACCTCTTCACATACATCAGATAATCTTGATTTACTAGAAGTAGCTAATTCCCTCCTTGCAAGAAACCATTCTTGCATCTTTGTGAATAGGAATTCAATCAACATTGATATTGGATAGTCTCTTGCTGTTGCATCCATTGCATTTAGTGACTCCGCGTTGTTGGAGGTTACAATTGAGTATCTTCTACGCTTGAACTTGCATCTTGCCCATTTTTGATCACCTATATCGGAGAGGTATTTTCTAATCTTGGGATCCTCTGCATCTAATAACTTCATATAGAAGGCACATAATTTCTCCGTCGGTGCCCGTGCTGCAGCATTAAAAAAACTGATAACTTTCTTCTTCTTTCCTCCATATTTTGATGTTATGTTGCCCAATATATGTTGGACACAATGTCCATGATCAGCATCTGGATAAACAACTTTTAAAGCACTTATTAATCCTTCATTCCTATCTGAAACTATACAGAGATCTGATCTCTCCCCAGTCACTTCCTTCAGTTTTGTAAAAAACCAGTGCCATGAGTCCTTCTTCTCCTTTTCACACACTCCAAATGCTAACGGGAAGATTTGCCGGTTTGCATCAAGTGCGCATGCACTCAGTATAGTACCTCTGAATTTTGCTTTTAAAAATGATCCGTCCACACTGATAACTGGACGACAACTTTTCCACCCTTGTATTGAAGCAGCCAGTGACATGAAAAATGTCATGAAATTACCTTCGTTATCGGTGTTTAGGGAAACAACAGATCCAGGATTTTTGTGCTTTATCATATAGTATAAAACTGGCAGTTTTCTGTATGAGCCTATATCTGTTCCCGTCAATGAAGTCAACGCGCTTTTCTTTCCCGTCAGTGTTCTTTGGAACTTGTTTGAAGTTCCAAAGAACACTGTATCTCATTGATCAGCTCTTGATAAGATGCATCTGGATACAACAACAGCCCATGTGTTGATTTTGAAACAAATTTTTTTTCTTTATTCCACTTTCCATCGAACAAGACAGTTAACATCAACTGTTCCATCCTATATAAACATGAAAGAAATGTTTTGTATTAATGTATACAAAGTCTTCAATTAAAGTTACAAAGTTTCATTTACAGTTACAAAGTTACAAATTTATAGTTACATAGTTCTTCAGTTACAATGACAGAGTTCATCATTCACAGTGACCTTTACATTCAGTTACAGTGACCATTGATATCAGTTACAATGACCTACTTCTTCAGTTACAGTGACAGAGTTCATCATTCACAGTGACCTTTACATTCAGTTACAGTGACCATTGATATCAGTTACAATGACCTACTTCTTCAGTTACAGTGACAGAGTTCATCATTCACAGTGACCTTTACATTCAGTTACAGTGACCATTGATATCAGTTACAATGACCTACTTCTTCAGTTACAGTGACAGAGTTCATCATTCACAGTGACCTTTACATTCAGTTACAGTGACCATTGATATCAGTTACAATGACCTACTTCTTCAGTTACAGTGACAGAGTTCATCATTCACAGTGACATTTACATTCAGTTACAGTTACCTAATTCTAAATGAGCAGTGACCATTGAAATTACTTACTATTACACTTTTTATCAGCTCATCACTTACAAAGCTTATGACATCACCTATTGATTTAAGCAAATCATTATCAGTTGCACTGATTTCAGTTAAAACAATGCTATTTAAAAAAGTAGTGATCAGTTAACTTGCAAAAATCATTTGACGAGCTTCCCGATCGAATTTTGAGCTGAAATGTGGTATGGACAAACTAGACTTGATGAGGAACATGCTCAAAAAATTTCATCAAAAAATTCCACCGGGAAGGTGCCCAAACGGGCTCGGCCGGACGGAGCAGTCCGTCAGGCCGGCCTGACATGAAGTTTTCTCTACATATAATATCCTATGATGTCTACCCATTCATTGCATTGAAGCATTTTCCTTTTTCAAGATACTTAGTAATAAATTCATAATATTTCTCATATACACTAGTGTATCTCAAAATATAAATGTAGTCAATAAGTCATTAATTTAAAATGTGAAATAAGTCGAACAACTACAATCTTGAAATTAAAAGTGCAAGTACCCACTTTGGAGTATGAGTTAATGACTTAATTCGGATATAGCCATATAGGCCCATTATTTGATTACCAAGTAAAATGTAGTTTTAGATTTTCATTTTTTTTTTTTGGAATTTTATTAAGTAAATTTTGGGATTTTTTTTAAAAAAATGGTTGATACGGGTATGCGTCAGGATACGAGTATCGGAAACTTACAAAAAATTACAAAAAAAATGGAAACTTTTAAAAATTGCAGATACGGCCCGGGAACGTACGGTACGGGTATCCTAGAGTATCGGATACGGGAACGTATCCGATACGCCGATACGCTACCCTAGGGAAGTATCCGTGCTTCATAGGTGATAAGACATGCCGCCATGAACGATTACTAAAATTAAAATGATGGTGTAATAATGGAGAATCAATCACATCCCGTAGTATACTTTGTATAGTGATAAGACATGCCGCCGTGGACATGTTTGGATTGAGCGTTAGAGAGTGTTAGTAATGGAAGTGTTAAAGAGTGTTTGGTTCAACACCTGTTTGGGAGAGAAAATAAAAAAAAAAATTAAGGGTGTTAATAAGTGTTTGAGGGTGTTAACCATAACCTTTCTAACACTTATATTTATCACTTTTTTGTGACAAATTTATCACTTTTTTAACACTCCAATTTGGAGTATAATGAAGTGTTGGACAACTTTTGCCCTTTTTAACTCCCCAACGTTATCTCTCTTGGGGCTTGTTCTCCTTCTTTTTCTGGCGGACTCTTCTCTCACTCGTTTCTTCTTCCCCAATTGTTCTTCCCAGCGGACCATGTATACGAACAATTGCACAAATCTAAAGATATTTTCCGATACAAAAAGATATACATATATAGATAATATATATCTACTGTACATATTCCCTTTTGCTATTCAGCCCAGTCTTTTCGCCGGAGCAAGATGCTGCTACATCCAATCTTCATACTTTTTTTTATTTTAATCATTTTTAATTTATAACAACCCAATCGTTTCCCTAAAAAAATAATCGTTTTTGATACATATAGCAATACATATACTCCGTACTTGAAAGAATTTGGACGGATCAATATGTATCATTTAAAAAAACGTGCAGTAATTAATATTAATTATTTCAAGGGCAAGGATAATTTTGTCAATTTAAGTGAAAACACTTTCATTATTAACACTTCATTTTTTAACTCTCCCAAACAAGGTAAGGTTTTATTTAACACTTACACTTACCTTCCTTTCGGGACCCCTCACAACACTTACTAACACTTCCATTACTAACACTAAATGTTCTTCCAATTGCGGGTTACGAAATTTGACCAACGATAAAGTTAAATGATCCCTGTGAAAACTCGGATTATTTTTGGTAAATAAAATTTACATATTCAAAAACTACATTAAAACCGTTACAAAGCCTGCAAAAAATAATTAAATTTTTATAAAATTTTGATATATAAAGTAAGAGTTTAAGAGTGATTTAAGTTGACTCTCGAAAAACGAAATGGAAGTTCTTTTAGGGACGGAGGGAGTGCTCCGTATTGTACATTTATAACTCTAATTTGTTAGGTACGTAGTATAACTCAAATACCATTTCTTTTAAGAACGTGAGTTTGGAACTTTTTTAAAGATATATATAGAGTTTGGAACCATGCTCATTTTTGCATGGGAGATATCATGAATTCACGTCAACGGTACATGACATGGGAATAACTAATTACAAAGCATAAATAAAATATATATCTCCTTCTTTCCACGATCTTATATGTTTTTGGTAAATTTTTCTCAAGAATATCAATCACAATGTCTACATCTAGACACTGTGTTTGACAATGCGCAGAAAAACTTACCAAAAATATACTCCGTATAAACCATTAAACCTCTTTAAATAAGTAGAGATATATTCTATTTATTTATTTTAATTGACTATCTCCCATGCCACGTGTGCACATTTTTGCGAAACTTTATAATGTTATCATTATTCCTTTCTACTCCCTCCGTCCCATAAAATAGTTCCTGCATTGACTTGGATCGGAGTTTAAGAAAGTGAGAATAGAGTGAAAATATATGGTTGTAGTTGTGTAAGAAAAAGGTAAATGAATGTGAGCCACACAAAACTTTCCAAAAGGGGAAATTGAAACTATTTTTTGGGACGGACTAAAAAGGAAATCGGGAACTATTTTGCGGGATGGAGGGAGTATATTACTTTGGCACTTGATCTACAATGCATGCGCTATTCGTTTATGTTAATTAGAGCATTTAAGGTTTACTTTATTAGTACTTTTTTATTTTGTGCCCCTCAAATTTTATGCTGATTTTGACAGGTTTACAGTTTGAGATAAGTTTTTTTTCTTAAGATACTTTTCATACTGAAATTTTGTAATCTGATCTAGCCTGATTTGATGTGTTTAAGTCTTGTCTGACCTAATCGGGCATGAGATAGTCTGATTTGACCAAGTAAATATGTATTCTATGTGTATTTTACAAGTTACAATTGTCGAATCTGATATGGTCTGGTGTGTTTAAGTTTGATCTAATTTGGTTTATTCTGTCTAATATGGTCTCCGACTGAATAATATTCTATTTTACTTTACAAAAGGAAATTAATAGTATTCTCTTTATTTTTCTAGGTTGTGCATACCAACTTTAAATTCTATTTTTTTATTTCTGTTTTTCTTGAAACATGCTACGTATAATTAAACGAATTTATCGGATCTAATTCGATCTTCATGTAATTGTCCATGGTAAATAAGTCACAAACAAGTCACATGTGATAAAGTCCTGAATAAATAAATACAATCGATATATATATACTTATGATTTATGACCATGGTTCTTTACCAAACATAACATCAGACTAGATCCCGTTGCCCATACCTAAGAGGATGCCTATTGATGATCATATATATATATACCAATCGTTAAACCATGATAGGAGAGTAATAACGATGTTTTCTTTTGAACTATTTTGAGTCCCAGATCAGATCAGACCAGACAATGTCAAATCAAACTTCCGTAGTTATAAAATACACGGAGACCAGACGTTTACCAGACC